AAAAAGACTAGAAAAGGACTTGACTCTTCCAAACAAATTAAATAGGAATCAAGGAGATTTACCTAAAGAATACCAATCTTCACTCAAATCTTACCCATGGCTCCCTTTGATAGGTTACTGTTTTGATCAATCAAGAAGAAAAAATGTCTCAAATGGTTTTATGCTGTTTGCTGAAGAAATCTTTTAAAAGTTTTAAGGCTGAAAATACAGAGATACAGATTTACTGCATCAGAGCCAACCCAATCCTTCAGTCCATGCAGAGCTTGGTGAAATGAATACAGAACTACTTAGTGTCATCACTCTAAGTGCAATTAATTCATCTACGTGGAACTATGTCCAAAGCCAGACAGTAAGATTTACAAATACCTCCGAGTGGCTTTTTCGACACAGAGAGAAAACATACTATAAAGGCAGAAGAGCAACAAACTCAGGATGTATTCTCTCCATACCATGCTTTTAATCAAATCAATATTTCTCAAGTCCTGATTCAACCACAGGTAGTGGAAGTGATCCACTGGATTAATTTTTAAGTATATGATCTTGCATATTAAGCATCATCCCATTTCTTTTACTCTACTTAAAGTCACCTTGTTCTTTGTGTATGATATCCTTGCCTATTTGTAGAGTAACACTACTTCCTGATTTCTTATCACCAGCAAGTTTCATTACTATACACCTATTTTTTGTCATTCAGTATGACTAAGTCAGTTGTCACTACCTTCCACAGTAAGAGTTAAACCTTTCAGTATGACCTGCTGCAGCTCTTCAATTAGTTCCTTACCCACTAATACAATTTTTACACTAGAACAGAGTTTAAAAAATAAATCTCCACTGCTTTATCATGTCCAATGATTTACCAAAAAAAAAAAGATTTTTTTCTATATCAGAAAAACAAAAATCAATTATCTGATTAAATAGCATTATTAAGTTAGTCTGACATGATAAACCACTGTATTGCATTTTATCCAATTTTCCACTTAGCTCCAAGTCTGCGCTTATTCTTTCTTTCAAATATTGTTCTATGCCTTACATAGATCAGAGATCTGACCATTTTTATCCTTTCCTGAACAGTGGTGTTGTGTTTGCTGCTATACAAACACCCGCGTGACAGATTCACAGAAAATGGGATTTACCGCACCCATGAAATACACAGTCTTTCAGGTTTCTAGGATGAAAATTATTGCAACCTTTTATCTGCAAAGATAAAGCACTTTGACTCCTGCTTTCATTTTAAATTTGGTCATTTCACTGCCATCTCCTCCTTTTCTAACGGTCAGCCACCCCATGTCAAATGCTGTCTGAAATTTTTGGCTCCAGACTGAAAAAGGTTATTTATCTTGATCAGTTATTTCTGCATGGCAGTCCCGCTCATTCTTTGTTTGCATCTAATTTTTAAAGCTAAAGAAATTTTTACTATTAGATATTATACTTTGCTCTTGTATTTTCTGAGTTCCAAAAATCGGAACATGCCTGTTCCTTTTCAACCATGTCGCTTCTGATAAACATTTTTGATTAATTCCCAAATAACAACAGGAAAGGCTGTACATAGAGACAAATCAACCTGTATAGAAATTTATTTTATGTATTCCTTTCAAATGCTATCATGATTAATTATTTATGTTAATAAAAACTGTTACAATTATTCAGAAACACAATTCTTGATTTGAAAAGGATTTTTTTTTAGTTGAACTAAAGAAGTTGCTATTCCCCTGCTTAAAAATAACATAAGCCATAGTGATTTTTATTTTTAATCACAATAGAAGCTGACACCCTTCCTAGAAGAGGTTCTGTATATTTCCCAATCAGTATGAGAACACTGCAGATTATTAACTTGATGCAATTTTCTCTCTCTGAATATCAGTAAGATTATTTAGGAACACTACTACATTCATTTTGCAGCACAATCCCCACATGAGAATTTTCTACACGTAAAGGTCAACATCTAGCACCTGTTTCTGTCTCTCCTATGGACACATAAAGGAAGGGAAGGTCACAGAAAATTCTGTGGCCCACCAGAAAAGCAGGAATTTGAAGTAAAATGGCAGGGGAAGCTAACAGCCATATTCATGCCAAACAGCCCACATACATAGCTCTCTACAAAATTCTTTCAGAAATTCCACGATTTTTATCCTACTGACACCAAAGATGTGGTCCACAGACTTCTAGGCACCGTTGAGGGAAA